CTAATTATAGATTTTTATCTCATACATGTTTTCCTAACGAATTTTGCAGTCGATTTGTAATTGTACATTTGGCTAACACCTCGATATTGGTATTTTCTGTGGCTTATCTTAAACTGGAGTGAAGTTATGTAACCGGTTGGGTTTCGTTTATTCGGACTTCGGACGCAAACTGAGTCACGTATTAGAGGGATTTGTTTTGAAATAGTTGCAACGGATGAATAAGGATTATTAGTGTCTTACGCAGACTACAGTAGGTACACAAGACCACTGGGTTTGCATTGCGTTATGCTGTAATTTGTATCTAGTGGGGAACATATATAAAACCTTCGTAATATATCAACAGACATCAATAATTATACGCTATAAGTTAGTATTTATAAATGCCTTGTTTAGTTAGTAGGTTCGCAAGTTACTATGAATTAATTACAATGATTTACTCTTTTGATACATGGTGTAAGTCACCTATTTTAGCAAAATAATTATCTTTTTTCACTAAAAATGTGGCTGTCTCGTGATCTATACTAAATATTATAAAGCTGAAGAGTTTGTTTGTTTAAATTCGTTTTATGTTGGCTAGAGCATTTACGGACGAAGGCTTTAGGCTATCAAACATCTCACTGCGACAAATAGGAGCGATTAAATGGAGGCAAATGTGGAAAAAACGGTGATAAATATTTATCTTTTGGGGTTTTCGTTGCGTACGCTGCGAAAACGGTCCAAGATATCCAAATTAGTACTAAACAATGATTCGACTTTAAATGATCTAAAAAATGTCCGCGCAGTATTAGTAGCTTACAAGATTAACTTGCAAGAACGACGGGATGCGACCGACGTCGTAGGTTACATTGTATAATAATTATTAATTAATATGAGGAGGTTAGCAAAAACGAATTTTGCTACCCAAAATAACAGTTCCATGCGGACAAAGACGCTGGTAGAGCTAGTAATAAATTTACCTAACCTCTTTGTTATATATAAAATCCTACATGTTAAGCTACGTTCAAAATTCTAATGTAGCTTCTGTGCATAAATATTCATGTTTACTCGAGTTGCATTAATTAACGTCATATCATAAATGTATAAATTAATGAAGTCTTGCAATTTCGATTTAGCAAAACAATTAACATATCATTTGAAAAGGCCAAGGACACTCCTTATTTTAAAGGGACATGTTACAAATTAGATCATGTTTTTCCGAACTTAGCCCCTCTCATTGTATAAACAATTACTAAGTAGACATGTTACCTATGTACATGTATGTGTAATAATAATTTAAATTCCTTCAGAGGCAAATAACCAGTTGCTAGAAACAGCTGTTTAATTTTTGTTTATAAGAAATGATGTGACGCGTGCGCACTTTTAAAGGATTATGCTCTTTCCAGACTACGTTATAAATATAGCATATGATAGCACACAATATCGCATACATTATCATTATATTTACACATAATTATACTATATATTATTATTTACCATAAACGGACCAATAATTTACTATCGTGAGCGATGTTTTTAAGCTTTGTACGTACTTTATAATCTATGCCATTATATTATGATATAGTCTGAAAAGAGGCTTAAACAATAAAAATATAATACAGACCGGCCTCGCACTGCGGGCGGGACTGCATTAATCTCCAGTTCTTGTATTTCTGCTGCCATATACGGCCTGCGCGTGCGCGGCTCAACTAAGGGCATTGCCATAGAATAACATAATGTGAAACAAGTCTGGCGGAGAATACTCATGGCATAAAAAACACGATAGAATTGAGAAAAAGTTTTTAGCTCAGTGTTGCCATAAAAATACATGTTTCAATTTTGTCTTAAATATAGTAGCAACAGCGTATAAATTGAATGTTTATTGTTGGCCTAGGACAGTATGAAGCTTGGACATTCTTCGTAAAGTACTTTTTACAAATCTCATGCTATCTGGTTCCATCAAATTAGCTTACAATGGAAGGACAAAGTATTTAACAAGAAAATTAATGATCAGGCAACCATTTTTAAATCGTTATAAACATTAACAACATCATGATCTAGTGACGCGCATCGAACTATCTGCACAATGTTCTATTCTAGGTCATTAAAAAAAATGGAGTCTGAATCATACCAATCATTTAGCATTGTTATATGAATTAACTTAAAATTGTATGACGAAGCTTTTTTTTGACACTTATCGCCAGACACGGTTAGGGTTCATTTGAAGGCCAAATTTTGAAAATGACCAAGCCCCGTAACTTCTAATTATATTGGACAACTTTGGTCATTCAGAAATATACAAAGAGAAAGTTTGTTTGATGGACGTAAATTCAATATTCCAGACACCCTTTTAAAACAATAGGTTTAACATCAAAAACAGAAAATGAATGACATGTATGTTATGGGAATCAAACGACCCGTTGCTGTTATCCATACATCCCAACGCGGCTGACAAGTCAATTTAAGTACTTCCTTTAAGTATATATCTAGTTTTTAAACGTATATATATAGATATACTTACCTTATAAAGCTTTGAGGTCAGTATATCATTGCCGTCGGAAAAGCTCAAAGTCAGTACATACATAATATGTTTTGTCCACTTTTTGGTAGGGATAATATATAAAGGTTACAAACAAACCTTCGAGCTTCAGTTGACGAAAAATTTCGCGTCGCGTTTCTTTGTGTTCAACATCGGAAAAGTTTCTTTGTCAAATGAAATAAAAGTGAGAGCGCTCGCTTGACCGGTTTACTTAAAGGTTTCATCCTACGAATCGTCTGAACTTAGTATGGCGCTGGATTAATTTACACGTGCACATATGTTCTTTTAATCGTGTAACATAATATTCTTATGAGAAGTCTAATGGGGTACTGTACCCATTGTTTTAGGTAGGTTTCTCTCCACCCTATGTAATAATAATAAGTAAATTATCTACTGTCTGTAGTTTACGCGAATAGTACACATTTAAATAAAAAAAAATACGGTTTAAAACGTGGTCAGCCGGTCACGGCTGCTGCAAAGCAGCGTAGTTAAATATAATTCTCAAACAAGTTTAAGTAAAAAATATATCGCGTTTTAAACCGTTAAAGTTTTTTATATAAAAGTAGATCTACTACGAACTATTTAAACGGGTTGAAATTCGAAATATACAACTTAAGAGTTTGTTTGTTTGGACGCTCTAAGATCAGAAAATACTGGTTTGTATTGCATTTTTTTGTGTTGCAGCATTTATCGAGGAATGCTATAAACCATCACGAAATTATTAAAATGAGAAGGAGGTTTGCAAATGGATGCCCAAACACCTTCATAAAATTAAAATAAATATATATCTTAGTAAGGCAAAGTAAGGGCCAGACGGCTGGAGTGACGTCACTAGCGTTTCCTTCCGCGCCCTCTCCACATTCCAGACTTCATTGCGTTCTTCGTAAAAAATACTTGCTTAGCCTAGAATAGACCGGTCCGTGTAACCTAGACTTCGTTATTAAATGAGGCGGTTTAATTTATAAAATGATTACGTGGACCTTCGTAATATCAGGTAGGGACTTGTTTTCAGCGACGTTATCATCTTTACATGTTATTGCACATGAAAGTACTATATAATTTAAAAATCGAAAATCTCTACCAATTGAGCTACCGAGTCAATACCGAAAGCAACAGCACGGAACGCTGACGATGCCGGTTTAAGTCCTGACCGAGTCGAAATTCTTTTCAATTTATTTTCGATTTTTAGACGTTATCATTATTTCGTTAAATCTATAAAAGAATGAAAGATAAAACTTATATGAAAATTATTTAAACGGCCCGATATTTTGGTTGCTTTGCAGCAGCCGTTTCTCCGTGACCACGACGTGAGTAATGTGAAATGTGTACTACTTGCGTAAACTACAGACAGAATGAAACTTATTAATTAGTTAGTAAAATTTATGAACAATTAGTAAAATGTATGAAAAGTTATTATAAAAATATTGTAACTCGTCGTCAGTTGTATTCCATAGCTTATAAGTTTTGTTTGTCTGTATGTAATGTATGCGAGTAGTGTTAAGTAAGTTATGGAAGACATTATGACGATAACAAGTAACTTAATAGTTATATACACATTTAATTTTCTCCCGTAAATTTGTAAGCGCTTAATATTTGATATATGCTGATTTTTAGGTTAAATAATCTTAAATAGATTTTTAATTTAAGTTTCAAAAAATACACAGTAGCGTGAATTTCTTTATTAACGAAGCGATGTGTATGTTGTGTGGCGGAGAAAACGCGTCATGTTATATTTTTACGTAACCTTGGCAGGCACTGTACAGTGTTTTAGGTCTAGGTAACCATTAATAGATATCGCAAACTACTCGAAAACGTAAAGTTTATCGACAGAGTTCTACAAGGGCATCGGGTTTCGGGGGTCGTTACAACTGGGTCAGAATACCTTTGTTCAAAAAGACCTTCATTTTCTGTACATACTTACATTTAACGTTCAAAAGTAAGTAGCTTTACGCCACATAAAAACAAAACTATGGCTAGATTCTATTTTGGCGTGACGTAATTTCAATTCAAATAAGGAAGGGAAAAAAGTCTTTGTTTTAAACTAGCTTTTACCCACGACGTCGTCCGCGTCCCGTCAATCTAGCGAGTTAATCTTGAAACCTATTAGGTTGCGGTCATCTTATACACCATGTAAAGTCGAATCAATTTTTGTACATATATTTTTTTATTTGAACCTTTTTCGCAACGCTCGCAACAGATGCCCTCAAAGATAAATAATTTTCCCCGTTTTTCCACATTTTGCACATACATTAGTTCCTCGTGTCACCCCGTGACCACGGCTGCTGCAAAGCATCCGAAACGTCGGGCCGTTGTTAAAAATATTTCCAAATAAGTTTACGTAATAATTATATACCTCGTTTTAAACTGTTAAAGTGTCTTATTTAATGCTTACTACTCGCGTAAATTACAGACAGGATTCTATATAAACGAATTAGCGGACATAATTGTGTATAAACTATTTGAATTCATTTTAATTTAATTTCAGGTCAACGGTGGCAGTGCTGCCGAGCGAGCTGGTCTCCAAGCGGGAGATGCCCTGATCCGAGTTAACAACACCGATGTATATGCCTTGCGACACCAAGAGGCTCAGGATGCTATTCGTGCAGCTGGAGGTGCACTCGAACTGACCGTGCAACGGTAAGCAATATAAACCTCGATTGCTCGAAGAGCTAACATCTCCTGATGATGTCGTCCATCCGCTCGTGATGGCGAAACGTCGAGAACCTCTTCTCGCTAACGACGGCCGAACAGCCCGAAAGACAATGATATGCTGAACGATGGCCGTGAAAGCCTTACACAATTTATAAGTAATAAATTTAATTAATAAATTTTACATGCGAAATTTAATAATTAAATTTATATAATACATTTTTGAATGAAACACTATAAATACCTTACAGACAGTGTATATAGTATTGTCTGTAGTTTACGCGAGTAGTACACAGTTAAATAAAACACTCTGAACGGTTTAAAACGCGAAATTATTTATGTTTAAATACTGTCTGCAGTTTACGCGAGTAGTACACATTTTAATAAACCCACGTTAACGGTTCAAACGCGGAATATAGTAAAATGTCAGGCCGTGGTTAAAATATTTCACGTTTTAAACCGTTAAAGTGTTTTATTAAAAAGTATGATTAGTTCAATCCAGAAAGAGTAAATATTGCATTTTGCGTTTAAAACCGCTAAAAGAAAACATTAACAATTTGCTCATGACGGCAGTATATAAATTAAAATTTGATAACAGCAACAGCACGGAACGCTGACGACGCCGGATCAAGTCCTGTCCGAGTCGTAATTTTTTTCTATTTGTAATCGTTTTGTAATTTATACCGTTAAAACAGTTTTATTTATCGGCTTATAATTAAATTTCTCAATGTCAGTATTGTGGTTTTGCCGTCTTCCCGTATGGCGCTTCCGATGCAACAAGTAATATTATTGTCATTCAAGATGCGTTCAAGTTTATTTACATTACTTGAATATTTACGCCCTATATGGCATTCAGCTTATTTATATTATGCAAGGCTGTTGCGTAATGGAAGACTTTCAGTTGTTATTAAATTATGTGCAACAATCATAAATCCTAAGACATATGTTCAAGACATACCCGTTACTTAACATTAAAGTTTGACCGCCTCGATAGCCAAATGGTTAAACGTTTTGCCTGGCATTGTGTTTAGCGCAGAGGTCCTGGGTTCGAATCCCAGGGAAACAAAAAATGTTTCGGTCGGGTAGGGCACAGAAGTCTGATCAATTACTTCCCAGTTAAAGAACGGATCAATGAAATGAACACGAAAATGTGTTCGCCCCATGCCCCACGGAGGGGGAAACGGGAATTTCCTAGTGGGACAGATCTATTATACGTTAAAAAGTCGTAGGGATGAAGGGCAGTTGGCCTATATTTTAATTGAAATTTGAATGTGATAATATGATACCCAAAATAACGACTCCACGCGGATGATGTCGCGGGCACAGATAGTTGTTCATAATTCTTAAATTAATGTTTATTTTTATTTAAGCTAACTTTTTTTATCATACTCAAAAAGTCTTCCATAAATCCAAGAATATCCTAATAGTAAATTATATGATGACTAAATAAATATAATTGGTTCTCGTATTTCTAGCGGTGGAGGTACTTGGAGACCATCAGTGACACCCACCGGTAGCTTGCCAAGGCCTGGATCTCGTCCACTTGGATCTTCCCCTGCTCCAGTCACCAACACTTCACTTAAGGCAACACCACAGCCCTCACGCGCATTTGGTTCTGGACATAACAACGTCGCGAAACCGTTTGGTTACGTAAGTATTATAAGCAGACAATTTTTTAAATCTGGTATGGATGTTTAAATGTTTGAACGGTAAAATCTATCTTAAGATGTGAAGCTGAAGAGTTTGACCGCGTTAATCTCAACAACTACAAGTTCGAATTGAAAAATTAATTTACTTTCGGTTAGATTTCCTCGATATCGTTGTCCAATAGACAACAGGGCTTTAGGCTTTATAACATTTCCACAACATGTATGATATATGATTCTTCTGATGATCTATAAAAAATGTCCGCGACAGTATGTGTCTATGATTTTTTTTAGCTTTAGCTGAGGAGTTGTTCGCAAATAATGAGATGCCCCAAAAAATCTTTTCCACGCGGACGAAGTCGCAAACACAGCTAGTATATAATATAATTAATACATCTATATATATATAGTATTATACATGGGTAATTCGAGCTACCTCCTCGTGTTAAGCGCAAGTTTCTTGTGGTCGAATCATATCAATCGACGACAAGTACAATATGTAATGTAAGGTTTTAGCTCCACGTACGTATTGTTCTTTCATATCCTTATTGTTATATTTTAAATTATATTACCTGACTTAGTCTTATGCTAGAGAACAAAATATATTTTAAAGTGTTGGAACGAAAGAATAGCTTTTGACTACGTTTGGTCGATAGAAAGTGGAGCGACGGGGACAAAAATTTAATATGAGCGATTAAAAAACTGTTCTGATTAATCTGTACGTGAGTGGTACTGATTTAACGGTTTAAAACGGGAAATCTATTACAGAGATTTTTTCCCTGTGACCACGTTTGCTACAAAGCACTAGAGATGTCGGTCCGTAGTTAAATTATGTTTAACTTATACAAGGTTATTCCTACTTCATGCGAAACCTGAAAGTAGTTTGTTCAGAATCAGTATCACATTCCATTCCACTATTTTTTATACCACGTTATATTTTTTGTCAAAATTGTATGAAATTTTTGAAATCTTGGACACCGTTTGACAAATAAATACCTACATAAGTATGTATATGCCATGTTTTAAATTAAAAAAGCCCTTCGTATTATTATGAAATTTCTGTTATCTAGCATTAATAAATCATCAACTATTTCAGATGAACGGCAATGATTCCAAAGGCATTGTGAACAAGCAGTACAATTCGCCTGTTAATATGTACAGCGATAAGACGATCGCCGAAACGCTATCCGCACAAACTGAAGTCCTTGCTGGGGGTGTTTTAGGGTATGTATATTGTTTAGTCTTTCATTGTTGACGATGATAACATCTACATCTAGATAATAGTTATCTTACTTATCCATTGGATCGGAAGATGGACAGACAAACTTGGCTAATTATCTATATTCTATATACTAATATATAAAGCTGAAGAGTTTGTTTGTTTGTTTGAACGCGCTAATCTCAGGAAGTACGGGTTCGAATTGAATTGAATTCTTTATGTGTTAGAGCATTTATCGAGGAAGGTTATAGGCTATAACACACTGCGATGTGACTAATAGGAGCGAAGATACAGCGAGAAATGTGAACAAAACGGGGGAAATTTTTCATCTCTGTAGTTTTCAGATGCGTACGCTGCGAAAACGGTTCAAGATACCTAAAAATTGTGTATGAAAGAACTATTTCCCTTTAAATGATCTAAAAAAAAGTTTTAGACGCTATATGTCTATCTTTTAAGATTAACTTGCAAGAACGACCCGAACTACGGGACGTGTACGACGGGATACGAATATCGTGGGTAACAGCTACCTACTCACTACACACTAATATTATAAAGAGGAATGATTTGTATTTTTGTATGTAACAGATAAACTCAAAAAGTACTGGACCGATTTCAATAAATCGGTCAATATTTTTTCATTAGAAAGCTACTTTATCACTGAGTAAAATAGATATTTAATTTTAATTATATTTAGTACTAAATTACGATAGAAATCTTTAGTAATTTCTATTAAAAGCAACGGGAGGTGTAAAACAATAGCCATAAAACGTCGTCCATCGCATACGCTGCGAAGAGACAATTATAGAATTATAGAATATATCAATATCTACAAAAAACATCGCGTGACCATATGTCTAACTATACGTCCATTTAACAGTAGTTACGTCACTATAACTACATTTTTACATTTAACAAATTGATAGAAATGCCGAACAAAATTAAACCGTGTTATTCATACCATTTATAAAATTTTTATTTAAATAAATCTATACTAATATTATGAATGCGAAAGTAACTCTGTCTGTCTGATTTTAACTCCAAAACCGTTGAACTGATTTAAATGAAATTTGGTATAGTAGTATACAGATATTTCCGAACCTGAAAAAGGACATATGCTAACGTTACCAAAAAAGGATTGATAGGGGTTGAAAAAGGGGATTTAAGTTTGTATGGAAATTCGTGGTTTTTGAAGCTAGAACAATGAAACTTTCTTCTTTGGCTTTTTGGGAATAGGAGTGGGAGTGGAGTGGGAGTACGAGTGGGAGTGGGAGTGAGAGTGAGTGTAGGAATGAGAGTGGGAGTTAGAGTAGGAGTGATGTGAGGTGAGAGTGTTGCGGCAAAGTTGCACTTACAACGTAGATTGGCTGCCTTAAATGCACTCTTATATAAATTAATAAACAGCCTGAATAATATATAAAAAATTCTACCTCAAGTCACTATTCCACGCGGACGAAGTCGCGGGCACAGCTAGTAATAATATAAACTAGAAAAGAAGTAGTATTGACCATTGATGCATACACTTTTGTAAGAATGTGAACTTAGACAATCATAAAGGCTATTCTATTTTTTTCATTTATATACCAGTTACATTTGATTGATGAAAATAAACAAATCATGAAGATTTATTTTCCGTTGTTATTATCTGTGGCAGCATATTGTGTCCTACGGATACTACTCCCTTTAATTCATATATGTAATTATGTCACGTTATTGATACCTGCTTTGGATTTCAGTGTTAACTTCAAGAAGAACGAAAAAACATACGACTCTGAAAAGAGTGCTGTTTTCAAAGTACTTCAAGAGGAACAAAACGATCCGGAGCCAGGTAATACCGATTCGGGTTTAATAAGGAAAGCGATATCAAAGTCGTCGAGATTCTTGAAGTATTTGATACATTGTACATTATCATCACCTTCCGTTCATCCATCTCTACCTATTGTTTTTATTATGTTGCAAGTTCTAAGACTATTATACCATGAATCTGATAGCTAATATCAATATAAATTGGATAATTCTATGACTAGTTGGACCAATTGCCACAATTGTACGTATGACACGATAGTTCTGTCTGTGTCTTCAAAATTTAGCATCTATTAGATTAGGTATTGTTATGAATTGGCCTATTAATAATTATCAAAATTAATATAAAGTTGAAGCCCCATCTGCTCCGACGACGCCTGTGAGCGGGTTGAGACACGTACCTGCGCCAGTGGCCAAGCCAGAAGCCTCACTTAACAACACTGGTGGGCTACCAGTCGGGCAGAACATTTGCGAGGAGTGCGAGAGGCTTATTACGTAAGTCGAACGTAGATCGTTCGACACGGTTGCAATAACGATCGATAGGGATCTTTTCGGAATAAGGCCTTTGTCACTAACCATTTCATTCATACCGCCCTCTTGGTCTAACTTATCATCAGTGCCAGCTTTTAAATATAACTTTAAAAACCGTTCCCAATGTCTAACGAAGAATGGCTATTTGAAGTTATAATTATGGACGGCACTCATTTGTTTCTTTATCAAGTTGCCAATTGTCTATAACTGATAAATGTTGGGGCAGAACCGCCACAGACGTTTTATTCGCGCGCGAGTGTTACACGCGCAGGCGCACCGAGCGGCTCACTTCATTCAAATACGCGTACTGCGCATCCGCCACAAAAGCCACAACCGCGACGGGTCCAATCATTGTCCCGTGAGTCTACCGGAGCGCAGACGCCAAATCATCTCACACCGGAACCGGTGCATCGACCCAGCATCCCCGTTGGCTGTCACCAAGTATTGCCGGACGGTCAGATCGCTTTAGGAGCCCCAGCACATCCTCAGCCATCAAATCATCTGCCGGTCGTCCACGACCCGCCTTACTGCTCTGACTGTGGCAGCCACATTGTGTAAGATAAACGGAATGACGTTTTGCAACCGTGTCGATATGTGTAGTTAAATGTTGTAGAGTAGTTAACAATTAATCGCGCACATATTACAAAGTACTGTAATTGTAATACGGATTACAGTGTAAAATCCTCTTGGCATTATAACTATGTTAAAGGAATGATGCAGTCAACTGCGTCCCAAGTCTGCTGTTTCAGTGTCACATTAGTAATAAAACATTGTGAATCGCAGACTTTGTATTTTGCCTCTTGGGGTAAAACTAACGCTGTTAAAAAAGTACAGCAAAGCTTTTTTGCATCCCAAAAATGTATTATGTCAAAACGAATATTGTTTTTTTTGTAGCATCTACTACATATGTCAACAGTTTTTTGAAAATGTAAGAAAAAACTGTTTCTTAATTTGGGGGGTTATTGGGGGAGGGGGGGGGGGGTTTAAGAGGCGAATATTATATAATTCGTTGATGTTTACGATGTCTTCTATAGAATATCGTTACTCGTTCACCATCATTAGTAACAAATAAGATCACATTCATTTATGTCGTATTGAATGTTTATTAGCACAACATGTATATTATACACTAGATTAGCATGCCTGGTAAGTTGCATGTGTACTCATGAGAAAAGCACGTACATGAAAGATTAAGCATAGATCTCGTTGAATGCATATAACTTCGCACATTGGATAAATTAATTTTGAGTTAGCGGCTATCTTGGAATGAAGTAAGAAGTATGATGTAAGAAAAGACGAAGTATCGTGCAAGAAATATCTCATAATCTTATGGTATATTAATTCGAATGTATGAAAAGAATTCGAATGTATACAATTTTATATGAACGCATCAACTGTCAAATTTATCATCCTATTTTAATCGTGAACTATTGTTGTCTTCTTTCAAAACTCATATGTGCAATAAGGACAAAATATTATGTTTTTAGCTTAACAAATAACGTGTGATTAATCTCCCTAATTTCAACAGTGGCGTGTTCGTACGCATAAAGGACAAGAACTTGCACGTGGAGTGTTTCAAATGTTCCACTTGCGGATCGTCTCTCAAGAACCAGGGTTACTACAATCTGAACGGGAAGTTGTACTGTGACATCCACGCTAAGCTTGTTGCTCGCCAGAACCCTCCAGCACCGAACTTGGAGCCAGTTACAGTTGCACCGTTAGTATAATTGATCATGATAGTAATTACAATACTGTAATTATATCGATGTATGATTTCTATACAGGGATTTTGAAAATGTATCTTTTTGGTGTATATTATAGAATTAGCTGTATCAGCGACTTCGTCGCGTAGAATAGTTATTTTGGGCACCGATTTTTGTTTTTGCAAACCTCCTCCTCTATAGTTTACGCGAGTAGTACACATTTAAATAAAATACTTTAACGGTTTAAAACGCGATATATTATTTAAACTTATTTGAAAATGATTTTAAACTCCGGCCCGACGTTTCGGATGCTTTGCAGTTTATCTATCGCTTTTTAAACCGTTAAAGTGTTTTATTTAAACCTCCTCCTTATTAATTTTTCAATTCGAACCTATTATTCGAGATTAGCCCTTTTAAACAAACAAGCTTTATATATTATTAGTATTGATTTAGTTTTTTAATAGTTGCGTACCTGAAAAAGGTTCAGGATTCGATTCTTAGGCTAATATACGAAAAAGTTTCAGGTAGGGCGCTGAAGTCTGATCATCGTAGCGAATACATTTCTGTATTAAAGATTAAACGTAGTCGTGTTTTTAAATTCCTCATTTTTGTTAAACGTGGCGCTAATGCATTTTGAGTTCGATTACTGGGGAAACTATAGATTATTTAGGTCAGGCCGGGCACAGTCTGATCTAAAACTTGCCTGTAAAAAACCTATCACTGAAACGGATAGTGAAATGTGTTCGCCTCATGACGAAACGTGATATAACTTTTTAGTATTTGCTTAATAAGGAACATTTGAAAAATAAGTATCTAAGTCTTAAACGTGCCTTTAGGAAATAAAAACATTTTCTTGGTTCACAGAGGTGGACGCATTCCCACCAACTCCTACACTACACCTCTTCCGCCGCTGTCAACTGGGAACTACACCAACGGTTCCTCATCTATGTTTAGCGTAAGTTTTTTATAACAATAGTCTAATGATATAATTAAGTATTCGCTTCTGAAAATAAACTATCTAAAGTCCAAATGCTATTTTTGTTCAATTTAAATTAGATCCAAACATATGACAATAATTTGGCACTATCCCCAAACAAAGCTTAAGAATGTAGATTTGTCTTAATATAGAAGATAATATTCATTAATAATGTTCAGTGCTGAAGAAACCATTAACGAGATAACAAGTGATTACACAGCGATGTTAAAAGTTTAGTTGATCTCTAAATTTTTTGGATAGAAGTGTGGTAGACTTTTTTTAAATATTATAACCGTTGTTTTGTTTGTCAGCAAAAGCATCTTTAGGCCACGGCCATTTATCTTAAACTGTGTGTTTTTTTTCTAAATAGAAAACTGTAGTGAAATGTGGGCTTGTTCTGTCAGAGAAATATTCTCATTTTCTATTCCAGACATTCTTTACAATGTCTTAGTCTAAACACTACAGCTATTTGTATATCGTTACAGCCATCTAGCAATTTATCTGGGCCAAAACCTTTCGGCTCGTCTATTGGATCTGCGTATTCTCCTTCCCTGTCTCCGCGATCGGCGCCAATGTCACCCGCCCGCCCTGTGAATGCGCCCGCGCCGGTGCACGTGCCTACGCCCGCCGCGCCTCTATCGGCACCTTTCGCACCCAGTAAGAGAGTCACTTTTGCTATATAATAAAATTAATCTAATTGTAACAATGCAGTTGGTGAGACGACGTTTTAAATAATCACTCAGATCATTTAAATATTGTCTGATAACCAAATACTGCAATGTATGTTAGATTTTGCATTTCAGAAGCTAATATGGATATTGTATGACCATTCAAAGTGTTAGAGAAACGTAGATATAACGTATCATTTAGGTAAATACTTATAAAATGATTTAAAAAAATATTTGAATGATACTTTACGTTCTATAGGTACAGCAGTTAACTTTTAATTTCTGTTCTTTATTAAAACATTTTGTAAAACTCTTCTATTGTAACAATTGCAATAATTTAAATTTATGTGTGTTTGACAGAGGCGCCTGTTTCAATTTTTAAAGGTAATTTATAAATAGCCAAAAACAAATTGGCACAGCTTATTCAGATCTGTAAATAAAATTTGTGAATGTGAGCTACGCTATCAACCGTTTCGAAAATAATTATCATCCAAATCAAAGTAGCTTAGCAGCTTTAAACGGTAATATTAAAAGTTTATTTTAGATTCTTCATGAGTAAACTAATTTTTATTTTTTACTTTCTCCCTCCCTCCATTTTAACATTTGCCGTCGATAACACGCTAACAGCCAAGAACGTTAAAAGCATTGTGTGGCCCCCACCAAACCCTCCTGAAGATGAAACACCTTCTCTATCTTCGGAAAGTGCTCCAAATACCCTCGTAAAAGATAATACTACTCTTACATCAGAAACAATGATAAAGACAGCTACCAATGAGTCTAAAGTAGCAAAAGATGAATTTATGTCAGGTGACCAATTTATATCAACTTTGCAAGATACTGCATTCTCTTCTTCTGTCTCATTTTCATCTGCTTCAATGTCTGCTGCAACAACAGCTTCATCCTTCTCTAAATCATCAATGCAAAGCAATTCACAAATGACACAAGAAGTGTCTAGTTGCACGGTTCAATCATATTCCGAGCAAGCGTCATCTCAGGGACAAACCTATATGATGTATCAGACCCAAGCACCAGGTATAATGTCAGTCGATAGCGAGAATAGAAGCATGGATAAGAAATCAAAGCACGAAGTCAGAGAATTACATTCAAATGAGAACGCGACCATATCATCTTCATTTGGCACCGATGCAGGATCAATAAATATGCAACCTTACAAAAACTTGGAAAACCAAATTGGAAATAACTACACTTATACTCCACCAACACAAATTCACACACAAAACATGAACCAATACGATGCAAATACCGAATCCAAGCAAGTTATTACAAACTTCAGTGAAAACATGTCACAAGGATTTACTATTCAGGACTCATCTAACACTAACTTTTGCAGTCGAGGTAAGCCTATTAATGAAATCGATCAATCGATAGATTACATAAATAAAATTCCCACTGGGCCGATATTGCAACGGGAGTCCACTAATCCATCGAGTAAAATATGTAGTAAACTTGAACCTAAACCTCTACCTCAGTCACAACCAAGCAAGCTTAAACAGAATACATCTGCGTCCGCTAAGAAAATATCTAATAAGCAGAAAACTGCTACCTGTAAATCTTCTGAAATAAAACATATATCTCCTATGGTAGAAGCATTAACTACTATACCAGATAGACCTTTTACTCCTGTTAGCAATATATGTACGATTCAAAGTAATTTCCTAGAGGAAGGTTTTACTGACACGTTTAACAATACTAATCTTTCGAAAAGCAATGTAAACGACGTTCAAGATTGTGGCCTAATTTTATCTGGGCCACAACATAATATTTTACGACCGGTAGAAAACTATGAACCTCTTACTTTAAAAATCGATGATAAAAATACATCTATATGTAGTAATTCGCAGTTACCTTCCCAAGTATCCGCTTTTGCACCTGTTGGTAAAGGTAGACAAGAGCTTCAAAGTATGTCTTCTATGAGTAATAATATGACCACTCAAAACATCACAACCAATACACAACACTCTACATTTACCACGTCTGCTAATACCCACGCTATGTCGTCAGTAAAGTTAACGCAAAGTTATTACGAACAATTAGATCAAAAAGCATGTTCATCTTCAACGACAAAATTATCAACATCTAAAGCAGGGGACGTTTCTATTAGAAAGGGAAACGCAAATAAACCTCAAATGCAAATGAAAGAAACACCACAATATATAAATTCATTAGCTGTTTCGCAAGAACCATTTATTCCAGTAGTAAATCAGAATACGAATCAATTCATTAATAAAAATGATAATACTAATATGTCTCCTATCATAGCTCCTTCGTCAACGCACGCCGTATCAAGTGGACAACAATTCAAAAATTTGCCGCAAGATTTATCTAGAACATCAAATTATATGGTCAATCCTATTTCTATGACTTCTCAAACTGTTTCAGATGAAACTTTCAGAACGTCATCACCTCGAAGTCGTCCTTCGACACCAGGCCTTATAAATAAACCTGCGCCAATAATACCACACTACCAAATGAACTTAGTTACCGTGGAACATTATGCACCTGAAAGCCACACATATCAGCCGTCTGGGGGGGAAGGAAGTCGCACACCTACACCCAAGACAAGACCACGTACACCAGCTCAAGGACCGACATTTAAAGCTCAAGCTCCGCGTATGAAAGACTCCGATCCACAAACAAACACTGGTCAAAGTTTGACTTTCTCACACCAACTTCCATCAAATTTTCAACAAGATCTGAACTCTATTCAGCCAACCCCAGTTTACTATGAATACAAACCACCGATGGTAAAGGAAGAAACCCGATCAAACGTTGAACGTCAATCCGAAAATTATAAACAGGGAGACATGTCTATTAAACAAGATTCAATGATCAATCAAAATTATGGTCAGCGACAAATGGAAACACAAAATGTTGCAGAATATGGACAAACTACGGTGCAAACGACGAGAAAAACGTTCGAGGAGTATGAAAGCTCACAATCCGCTAAGATGGTAGAAATTAAAAAGGGTGGTCCCATGTCTTCTGAGTCATTTCAGCCAATTGAAGCTTTTCGTCCACCTGCTATTAACTCTAAGCAAACTTTACCTTCCTCTGCCATGAGTTTTTCACCTTCGCAAAGTTTTTCTTCTAACGTTACTAATGATAATGTGGATACCACTAGACAAACTCATAAAAGTACGTTTGAAATGAGTCCTTCAATTTCTGGTGCTAACCGTGCTCCAGTGTGTGATCCTACCCCATCAACAGGTTCCAGTGTAGGGGCTGCCGCTCGTGGCAAAACATTTGGCGTGTCATCGGCCCCCAAACGAGGGAGGGGAGTGTTGAACAAAGCTGTTCTGCCAGGTTCTCGTGTTCCACTTTGCGGTTCATGCAACGGCAATATTAGGTGACTAGTATTCGGTCGTAACGTTTGGCGTTGTTAAAGAGTGATCTTTGTGCATGTTTTTGCCTATATAAAGATAGGTGAAAAGTTTTATAGAATTTTAGCAGCGAATGTTAGTTTAAGCACTTAACAAAGCTTTATTACGTAATGATTTTTAAATAAGCTATAAAAATCATAATGTAATCAAAGTCCGTAGTTCTAATAAGCTTTTGATGTGTTTGTGTGTTTAACTTTTGATGTTTTGTTTTACAACAGCTAACGAAGTACAAAATTCGACCGGTTCTCACAAGATGGAGTTCAAAAGTCCAGCTGAAGAGCGATTAATTAGAAAAATGGCAAAGATGGCCCTGAATGGTTACGAAATAGGCATACAAAGGAAAATTAAACCAGCCGATCATATTCAATCGATGGCTGAAAGAATACAAGATACTATTGTAACAAATCACCCTCTTAACGCAGAAAACTCGCCTTCAGGTGAAAACAGCCGTGACAGTACACTCAAAAGACCTAATAAAATAATAGAAAAAGTATATAAACAGTCAGAAATTGAACCTACAAACAATTTAGGAAGTGGTCATCACAGTTTGAGTACTAAGTTTATTACAGGCAACGTTCCTTTACCACCCCCACTTCCAACTACTCCTATCCCCACACTCCATAATTATAACTCTATTAATACACCTATAATCCTAGACGAACCTGTACTAAAATCGGCAAAAGATGTTAATCACGTTGATAAACTTCTGAATGGCAACGGTTATTCAAGCTCAGAAGAAACTAAAAAACCTGGAATAGAAAGCAATGGTTTTAATAGTCTAAAACATAAGAATGACATTACTAAAACATCATTTTTGACTGAACTTAATACATCTTTCATAGAAAACAATAAGAACAACATTAAAAATGACAATACTTTTTCTAATACTATGACTAAAAGAAAACTATTTGAAAGAAGCGACGCCTTAAATGATTCTAATAGCTCAATTGATAACAATGTTACTACATATAAAACTGTCAATGGAAAGAATGGCATCACAGAGAAGAATAGCTTCTTAAATAATATTAAAAATAAGAGTAACATTAACAAAATGTTCCCCGCACAAGATGAAAAAGATGATTTGAAAAGTCTCGAAAACAGACCCGAAGACTTTAAGAGTCTACCAAATAGTTTGCACGACAACTCATTGTATAGCTATAAGACTAATAACTATAACAGTGATGCTAAAAATGGACACGATAGTCTCGATTGTAATTCTGCCAAGGCCGATACAGAGGAGGTTGTAGTAAGACGCCGAGAAAAGAAAAACATAAAGAAAGATGACGGTAGACGAGACTCTCATATCATTGCAAGACCTTTGAGCACTATGACCTCAGTGGACGTCGCCGATGGGCATTACGTCTGTCATGTATGCGACAAAGCTATAACCAGGTATAGAATCTTGTACTTACTTCACACAATTTTGTCCAGGTATTACGAGTATGTATTAGCATGATCATCAAAAGCATGTCTTGTTTCTACTAAAATTTTCAAGTCAAAAAGCTTTAGTTTGCGCTAATACTTCAATTCAATTATTTGCTCTTGATTATTGTTAGTAAATAAATTTCTGAAATCAGGGGTCCATTTATAACGGCCTTGGGACGGATCTGGTGTCCAGAACACTTTATTTGCGTTAACGCGTCGTGTCGCCGCCCACTGCAAGACATCGGATTCGTGGAAGAAAACGGTCAACTATACTGCGAGTTTTGCTTTGAACAGTACATTGCACCAGCTTGTGACAAATGTCATGCTAAAATTAAAGGGGTAAGTTAGTTAAGAACTTAACATCTCTTAAGTTCTTCCATTTAGGTGAAACTTCAAAAAATACCAAATAGTACCAAGTTGATAATAATTTGCATTGGTAGTCTTTTAAAGTTTTATTTTACAAGCACAACTTTATTTCATTTCTGTTTAAATATTTAATGAAAAAAAATTGTTTTACTATCATATAATAATATGATATATGTTATAGTAATCGTATGTGTTACGCTTACGATTTTAGGATTGCCTCAACGCTATTGGAAAACATTTCCACCCCGAGTGTTTCAGCTGCGTCTACTGTGGAAAACTTTTTGGAAACAATCCATTTTTCTTAGAAGATGGCTTACCGTACTGTGAAGCAGGTATGTTTGCCAATCACTAATGTCAAAAGAGTAGCTATGTCACAAATATAGGGCTAAATACTGTCTATAGTTTACGCGAGTAGTACACATTTAAATAAAACACTTTAACGGTCTAAAACGCGATATATTAGTTAAACTTATTTGAAAATGATTTTTAACTAATATATCGCGTTTTAAACCGTTAAAGTGTTCTATTTAAAAATGTTTTTATTAATTGGTAAGTAATTCTACTGTTGCCAATAAATATTTATAGGTATTCTAACAACTTTACAAGTGGAGGGTCAGTTTCATTTTTATATATATTTTTTAAATCTTGTTGCCTTACCCATTTATAATTTTTAAATTATAATCCTTAATGGGTTTGAAAGCAAGAGATTTCAGAAACAGGATTCGAGAGCATTTCGTGTTCCGCTTGTTCATAATACTATTGTTATTTTTAGACTGGAATGAATTATTTACGACGAAATGTTTCGCGTGCGGATTCCCGGTGGAAGCCGGCGACAGGTGGGTCGAGGCGCTCAACAATAACTACCACAGTCAGTGCTTCAACTGCACGGTGCGTATGATGAGAGCCTACTAAACATAAACAATAAAACACACACTCGCCCCATATACAACATACACATACCCTAAGACATCTACAATTTAAACATAAAATAGTCAAAACAATGTTTCGATCATCACACAATCCTGTTTGCGGTTATTTTCCGTGGTAACATTGTCTTTGTATCCATTCACTGGTATGATTATTTGTTAATGACATTTGAAAATTGTAACTTTGATGTTATTTTCACACACACAGCTCGTCATACGCTGCCCTTCAGTGATGTCCCAGAGTGCTAATAGTGTGTTATGTAAATTATAGTTTTAAAATTAACAGCCATTCATCAGTGAAAGATGTCGCACCTTCGATAGACTTGGAAGGTTTTGTGATTTGAGTAGTTTTAGTAGTAGTTAGTTTTACTGCCTGGGATTGAGTGTGTCATCAAAGTACAATATGTTTTGGCTATTATATGTATTGTAGTATATGTAATTATTATTAAAGTGTTGTTTTGAATATTTGTATTATTCTACTATGTTATATATTTCATATATTATATTTGATTGTGTACGGGCCTGGCATTCCAAGACGTTTGTTAGGGGTAATGATTTTAAATTTTAATTTTTTGAAAATAAGGAGGATTATAAAAAGGTTTTTAAGAACCCTGACGTCTCTCGGAATACAGGTCGTGAACTATATTTATTACTATGGCTACTTGTTATATAAAACATTTATTACTTGTTGTAGGTGTGCAAAAAGAACCTCGAAGGACAGAGTTTCTTCGCCAAGGGAGGACGACCTTTCTGTAAGATTCACGCCCGCTAAAAGTCCACCAAAAATCGTATACAACTCCGACACTGTTTACTCCACTGTAACGTTCCGTCCAGTCTCTCTCTCACCAACTCCGTCGCCTACTTTCTGTCCTGCTCCTCCGCAAAGAACAAGAAAATTGGAAACGCCCCTCCACTTTGATGGAGGGCTGTTTTCTGATATCCGGAGCACAGAAGGCAAACTGCTTAGCAAAGTGACTGTAGATCATATTCATAGTTCCACAAAGCACGATGTAACCGATTCACCGGGTTTATTAGAAAGTTACGGTTCTGATGGAAACAAAGCTTTCGTAGATGATATAATTAAAACTGAAACTATAACAAATGAAGATGTTATAAAGGTGAAGTTTACCCCCGTTCCACTCGAAGTGGACTCGCTCCCACGCCTCTCACCGTTTCCAAATAGATCGGTTACTCCTGTCAACTATTTAAGAAATGACTATGATGATCTAACCAGTTACAAAATTGTTAATTCCATGTGTAAAGAACAATTACTGCAACCAAATGGACAAAGTGACGTTGTAAAACGCGAACCTAGTCCTTTAGCTAATATGCTTGTTTCTGAAAAGCTAACCATAATAGATAACTATTTGCAAGAAAGTTTAAATAGGTGCTCTGAAAGCAGAGAAACTATCGCCATACAGGTGCCCAAGGTCGAGAGTGAGACGAAGCAATATACGGATTCCATGCAGACGCAAAACGGTGTTTGTAAGAAAGAAGAATTGAGCATGAGCGTAGTTGGTGACGCCCAAACAGGGTCATCTATAGCACACACTCATAAGCTTAATGACGACATGAGAAGGAAACCCAAGCTAAACCTAAACAGTGTCGAAAAACAAAAACCAGGAGTATTACGCAGTTTCTATAACTTGCCAATGCATTACCATGCCGCAATCCTATGTTTCTTCCTGATTATATATAATCTTATATATCAATATATAAAACAAAATTGCTACGGCAATAAAACTCGTGCCACGCTTTAGATAATTGTATTTGTCTCATTGTTAGTTATATACTAGTCAAAAAATTCAAATTGAATGAAATACACCAAGTAAAAATTCGGATTATTCGTCAATGTTATGTGTATTTGTAAATAGTCCTCCTTTTTTAAATAAGATTTAAAAATAATACTAAGGTATTTTTATTGTATTTACAATACCTAGCCGTGGGGAAATATGCCTATGTGATTTTTAATATCACTTATGGTTCTAAACTGTCCCACTTCTGACAAAGGATATTTTTATCACAATTCTCAGGATATTAAGCGATGTCCAATGTCCATACCTACAGCATATTTTTCAATATTTGGCTTCGACGTTTAAATAACACATTGGCCTTAACAAATTGGTGCTTTTATTTTATTGAATTTGCTCGCCATATTGTGATAAATCGTTTGATCTAATATTACTTAAGGTTTTTGTACAGAGCTTACGGAATGTTTTTATTTAATCAACTAACCTTAACAATATTAAATTATTATATTGGACTTGTAGATGTTGAAGTACGAACTTATTTTATTGAAATGGTGCACCAATTGAACAATGATGTTAGATTATGTTGAAATAATATAATTTAAGCGATATTTCTATTTAACAAAAAATACATTACAATTATCATAAAATAATTGTATGACACTATATGTTTTATTAAGGACAGAAATGTAACAATTTGAATTTGTTTATTGTATTTACGTTATTTATTTAATTTTGAATACCATAAGTATTAAAGCATAATTTTTTATAATGTGAGCTTAATAAAGTATTTTATGAATTAATTGTTTTTTTTTTGTATATCATATTCTTATAGTGCCTTGAGCATTTGAAAGCGTTTTTTATCAGGAACATAATGGGTGACAATATATAAATTGAAAAGGACACAATGTTCCAAACAGGCGGCAGCACAAGTTTAAACAAAGGAATTGGGCTAGGCAACGCTAATACTTAGTTTTTGAAATAATTGCAATTCTTGTATATCTATACTAATATTATAAAGAGGAAAGATTTGTATTTTTGTATGCGATGGATAAACTCAAAATGTAATAATTCTTTTTTCATTAGCAAGATACATTATCACTGAGTAACATAGGCTATATTTAGTACTAGATTACTGTAGAAATCTTTAGAAATTTCTATCAAAACCAACGGTGTTATAAAAAATTTGCCATAAAATTTCTTTCATTCCTTAAGTTTTATTGTTAATTAAGTCCTATGTAAGGCCGTTTGATTGTAAGTTCAAATAAATTAAAATAAAATTAATATATATATTTTCTAGATCTAAAACAATTACATTTTCTATATATTAAAATTTATAACAATGAGTGTTGTAAATTACAAAATCAATATGGTATTATCATTGATTATTAATCTAAAGGGTAACTTTGTTCAGCATCATCTGCAGCAAAATAATTGATTATCCTGTAAAAGAAACAGTTAATATACAATATAATTAATTCCAAACGATTATTGTCCCACTCTTGGGCCTGCAACTCTAGCAAAGGGAAGGGTTTTTAAAAGGCTATATGCTGCTTTCATTTGAATGTTTTTAAATTTAATTTGAACACTTTTAAAGTTTAATAATTAGTGGGAATAATAGAGTTTGATAGATACACAGGATTTGTAGATAATATCTACTAATTGCAAACTCTGTGCTTGCACTGGCTTAGCTTCTAGAAATTATCTTACGAAAATTCCAAAAGGATTATTTAGGTTAGGTATTTATGTCAAAAATACAAGTTTTATGCATTATATCTATATACATAGTTGATTGTTGTATTAGTGATTAGAATAAAAGAAAGCAATTCACCAGGTTAGGTTAAAGATTCTGTCTAAAAATTTAATTTGAATTGTATTGAAATTGTTCTATAAATATTTCGATCAATTGCCTTAAGTTTAAGTTTTACAAACGGGAAAGGATTGGGCTGCGTTACCTTCTCCAATTAAGGCCCAAGCCAATAAAACTAAAAGTTAAAAATCCATGCCAAAGAACTGTAAACATTTGCTCGGGTTCTCTTTTATGACCAAAGTTTTTATGAGTGCGTTGAGGCAAGTAATACACTTGTCTAGAAAGACGTAACATTTTAGAAATTCTAGCAGATAGCGACGACTATGACTGGAAAATTCAATAATGGATATTTAAGATCGGCGAGAACAACTCGTTTAAAACATTACCAGTGAATGCAAATTGCAAAATGTTTTGTTTATAAATAAATGTCAATTATCATAGTAAATGTATTAATATATAAATTACCATAGTAGATAAAACAGACGTAGAGTATAAAATGTAATCGTACGCGGTATAATATATGGTATCTGTAGATGCAGAATTAGCAGAGGATATAGCATAGTAGTCTGTGGTTACTATTAATTTGACAATTATCAACTGTCAACTCGACAGGCAAGTTCATGCACGCGGTAATTCCACATTTTTTCTTGTTCTTTCATTTGTCAAGCGAGCAACGTGAGCGGTTCGGTTTTCGGGTGGCGCATGGTCGTTGCTCTTTTTTGGAATTAGTGATTATCGTAGTAAAGATGAATTTAACCGGTGATATACAAGCAGAAATGCTTGGCATTGTCTACGAGTTTCTATTAACGATAAATAAGCCGCTAGCGCAAAAATTTCAAGCGAAGACACAAGCGGTAAGTTATCCAACCACGTGTGAATAATTTTAAGTGTGAACCATGCGGTTTCCTTCTGAAATAAGTATTTTATTATGAATTCATTAGTTTCAAAATAATAGCTAAACTCATACTTTTACACAAGGTACACGTGCTCTATATTTATATGCTCTATATACTCACAAATGATGATGTAGTATACCGAACTATAATGCGTTTACTCGATAGTAGAATAGAATTTGCTTTTAAATTATGTGTACTCGAGCCGGGGCTCTAAAACTTGTTGTCTTTGCACTTTGATCATAATACTCAGGGGTCACAAGAAAACTTGAAGATATTCAATGGGCTAGAACTCAAAACTGAAAGACTACTAAATTACTGCCTTGTTCTATAACCTTTATTAAGAAATTTCCCTATATGCATGAATAAAAGATTACTTTTGATTAGATTTAAGTGATATAACACATGTATTTGTGTATTTTGTGTAACTAATATGTAAGATAAATCAATGTTTCTTTATTTTAGAAATCGGCACCAGGTACACCGTCCCTGGTTGAGATTGTAACCCAGTACAAGAAGCTGCAAAAAAATACCACACCAGCAAAACAAAAGAAGCAAGCGTCAGATAGGTATTATATTATTGTTATTTCTATGTTACTTTTTAACAGTGAACAGTGTTCTTAAAAAAATTCAACAATATTTGTGACAATTACTTTACTCAGAATAACTTTTTGAGGTAGTTAAAAGCAATAAATTTTTAGCCTAAATTTAATAAAATTATTTTTTTCATTTTCATTAAGTCAAAGCAGGAGTGGATTATACATGCATTGAATGATTGAGATATACCAACCATTTCTATTGTCTCACATATAATTTGTAAATTTTAACATGTTACACAGTTTTACTCAAACACAACATTTTAACATGTTACACAGTCTTACTCAAACACAAATGTATAAAGTATAAATTTAAATACTTGACAACTTTATTACAGTTCTGATGATTTGAGTGAAGATGAAGCTCCACAAAAAAAGGGAACAGTTCAAGTTAATGGAAAAGCACCAGCAAAGGTATAATTTGAATAGTATTACAATACAATTAAAGTGGCTTTTTGATATGTCATAAACTTACCAAATATTAGCTTGGTTTCTATTCAATACTTGTCTCTTGGGAACAATTAGGTTTCCTTTCTACTAGTTAATTGTTATTATTTTAAAAATATTCCAACTTTTGGAAGGAATAATGTAACAATTAAAATGCTGTTGGAATTACTTATTTTGGATCTACCTTCAAGTTAGGCAACTATTGAAATTTCTCAATAGACATGATGTTAAAATATTTAATTGACTTTTTGTGATATATTTATATATTATCGTCACTACCTCTGATTATGAAGCGAGTTACTTTTAAAAGAATGTGGATGGTGTATTTGATACTATAAGCTTTTATTTATTTTTAAGGTAACACCTCAAGCAAAAAAGGAATCTTCTGATGATTCTGACAGTAGTGATGATAATGCCACAAAACAACCTAAAAAACAGCCTGTAAAACCACAAATTGCCAATTCGGGGACAAAGACAGTAAAAAAGCAAGAATCATCAGATGACAGTTCTGACTCTGATGATGCAAAATCAAAACCACAACCTAAAGCAACATCAGCTAAACCTGTTACTAAACCCAAAGACATATCTTCGGACAGTGATGATAGTGATGATGAAAAACCAAAACAAGCACAGAAGCCTGCCCAAAAAACAACACCAGCTAAAGCTTTGTCAGCAAAAAATAATAAAGCAGTCAAAAAGTCTTCCTCAGAAGATAGCGATGACAGTAGTGACGATGAGAAACCTCAGCAGAAACCACAACCTAAAGCCACAAAACCCATACCTACAAAAGCTGCACCTAAAGAATCCTCCTCTGATGGTAGTGACAGTGAAGATGAAAAACCCAAACCACAACAAAAGATAACACCTAAAGTAACTCCTAAGCCTTCTGCCACACCAGCGAAACCAGTTGCTAAGCAATCATCATCAGATGATAGTGATGATAGTGAAGAAGAAAAACCAAAACCTGTGCAGAAACCAGCAGTTACAAGCAAACCTGTGACCAAGGAGTCATCATCAGAAGATAGTGATGATAGTAGTGAAGATGAAAAACCTAAGCAGGTCGCAAAAGCAGCAACTAAACCAGCTCAAACTACACCTGCAAAATCCAAACAAGAGTCCTCTGACAGCGAAGACAGCAGTGAAGATGAAAAATCTAAACCTACTCCTAAACCACCCGTTGTTAAGAAACCCCAAGAGAGTTCATCTGATGACAGCAGTGATGAAGAAGCACCCAAAACAGTTGCAAAAGTACCAGTAAAGCCGGCAGCTAAGCCTACAAAGAAAGATTCATCATCTGATGACAGTGATACTGATAATGAACCCAAAAAAACAGTAGCTACACCAGCAAAAACAAAAAAGGAATCTTCTGATGAAAGTGATGACAGTAGTGATGATGACAAACCTAAAGCAGCTAAAGTACCAAAATTAACAGCCACACCATCAAAAGCTGTTAGTACACCAGCAAAAAAAGATAATTCTGATTCGTCCTCTGATGATAGTGATGATGATGCTCCACCTGCTACAAAGATAGTTAAAAAAGAACCTAAGGTTATAATTTTGTTTTTAAATATATGTATTGTAATTGTTGTTTGAATGGCAAACAGTTCATTTATAACTTACTTAGCAGCATCTAAAATTTTTTTATATGTATATTCTCTCATTTTGGATGTTTAAATTTACAGCAAGCTGAAAATGGTTTTCAAGGAAGTAAGAAACGAAAGGCTTCAGAGGCAGAAGAATCTACACCGGCCAAGAAGCCTTACAACAACTTTGTAAAGGTTTGCTTTTTTCTTTCATTGAAATTAATTGAACTGATAAGTAATATACATTAATTTTAGGCCACAGCATTGTATGTTGCAGCTAATATACATTTTGCTTTTTAATTGCTAATTACTTTTACTAGACAAAAAAATAATTTCTGCAAATATTTTAGGGTACAGGTGTAGTGTCCACTCCATTAGAAAATGAAAAGGTTAATAACAAACCAGTTCCGTTTAGGAGGGTAGCATCTGAAAAAGTTGATGTGGATCCTAGACTTAAAGACAACTCTTTTGAAGCTAAGGTAAATGCCCTAAACTCTACAAGTTTGATGAGCCAAGACAACTCTATGTATTAAGAAAAATCAATCTCATGTGTATGGCTAACTGTTTTGGGCATTTACTTTAATTGACTTTGCGAGACTAAAATGCATAGGGTTGTCTTGGTTCTAAACTTTTTTTTCTCAATCAGGAGGGTGAAAACGAGAATGAAGAGAACAATGGTGAAGATGCTACCGACGGCAAATCCAATGGGTGGCAAAACAGGGGCAGAGGTGGTTTTCACCGTGGCGGTTTTAATGACAATCGGGGTGGAGGAAGAGGCGGTTTCAGGGGTCGCGGTGGATTCAATGACAGGGGAGGCAGAGGGGGTCGCGGGGGTGGTAGAGGCGGTGGCCGAGGAGGTGAAAGAGGAGGGTGGGGAGGAGGTAGAGGCGGTGACAGGGGTGGACGAGGCGGAAGAGGGGGAGATAGAGGAGGCAGAGGTGGACGTGGTGATAGACACTCTTGGGGCGGTGGTGATAGGGGAGGTTTTAGAAACAATTTCAATGACAGAAAGAGTTTTGATGGGGGTGATAACAAACAAAATAAAAAAATTGTTTTCGATAACTAGGTAAGATTAATTACATTGACTAAAGAAAATTATACGTAGTAATGACAACGCATAAACTGTTTCTAGGAAAACATTTTTGCTGAATTCCTTGCCTGGAAAGAGACAATAAATATTTATACTGTATCTTTTTGTTACAGAGCGGAGCGCGTGGCTCTTGGGGTGAACGTGCTAATCTAGACTTGAAACATACGCGTGGCAAGTCTTTCAAACACGAGAAAACTAAGAAAAAAAGGGGCTCGTATCGAGGCGGTGTAATTGATATGGGCGTACATTCTATTAAATTTGAGGATTAATAATAATCGTCTTAATATCGCTAGAGTAATAAGCTATTGCTTGACATTAATTTTGCAAAGTTTTAAGTCTTCATGCATTTATTATAAGTTTTTCAGTGTTATTTTGACATAATGATAGTTTTCATTATTTCTATATTACTTAACAGATGTACTATTCCGAGTATATTATAGGTATTCATTCTACCTAATGTTTTAAATACTATTTAGTAGGTACTAAATAAATATTTTGTAAATAATAGGATTATTCTAAGCAGTTTTCCCATTGTATATAATAATTTAAGGTATGCTTGTAGTTATAAGTTCAGACTTAGTTTCATGGTATGTACCGCCTTTTTGATAAGTGCAAAATTCAATCTAATTATTTTGATAAACAATAACTGGACAACATGGTGTTTCATTTATTTTTTAAATCTTATTTAATGTAAGAGGAGGACATAATATATGCATTGGGATTTGATGGTAGGTAAAACATTTCAAGATGTACTGTTGACATATTTGGGCTTTAACAATATGCTAAGAGTACCTAAGCACTTAATTGGTTAATTCGTCCGATTAAGAGACATGCAAACGAATGAGACTAATATAGTAAGCAATCTTATACCAAAGTCAATAAAAACGACATTCGGAGTAAGTTTTTAACTTTGAAGTATTACTTGGTACATGCCTACTTTGATAACCCAAAGTAATAAATATGTCATTGCGACGGTGAGAACTACTTAGTCTGTGGCAGTTATGTCACTGTCAACGATCTTCATAGAAGTCTATGGTCAAACTAATTACCAGACCAAATCCATACTATACCTACATAATATTAGTACTTAGTAGGATTATTTTTTATTTCCAGTTTAAGATTCCTTGGTGATTATAGCTGAGCTCACTAAGCTTTCTATATTATGAATCTATAAAATGTTTAAGGTGCATGGTGACGTTATCTAGTGTATGGGGTTGTTTATTTGGTTATAAAAAATAATGACATGTTTTCCAACATCGCTTTGTCGATATTCATAAGAAATATAATTTTGAATCCTCAAGAAATCTTGTGATATTATAAGTTATAGTGCAATAATGCCTGTTCAACAAATTAACGTTAAGAATTCAAGTGAGATCGAAAGTTGGGAATGGGGCGGCGGATGTGGCAAAGAGACCATACGTGCTGGCTCTGGAAGTAGCCAAACGTCTTGTAGCAACTCTAGTGGCGATATTTGCAGAATTTGTCACTGTGAGAGTGAAATACATAATCCTCTGTTGGCACCCTGCTATTGTTCTGGTAAGTGCTGGTAGCATAAATACATTGAGATTTTAGTAAATGCATCTATGTATGCATAGCTGTAAACCTTTTCTAAACATAACGTTTCAAGTAAATGGTTAATTTTATACAATTTTTCAATAAAATAATGCTCTGTTTTACCTCCAAGAGTATGCATTTTGATTCATCTACTATGTTCTTGTGCTTCAGTAATCAATGAGCACATTGCTAATATCATAAACAGAAGATATATTTTTGTTTCTTTGTAGTAAATAGGACTATTGTATTACTAAAGATAGCTGATATTTTAAAATAATATAATATTTATATTAAAATAGTTGTTGGTAGGATTATAAAAACCATAATGTTGATTATGGATGCTTATAACTGTTATTTGTTTTATGACAACTTAGTGTCCATTGTTTCTTATATAGAATGATAATATTGCAGATCATTTGATAAAAATACAATTTATATGTTTATAACACTTTATCAATCATATCAAAAATTAATAAAAGAAACAAAGTAATATTTTAATATGTCTTTAAAATTGCAGGTAGCCTTAAATATGTCCACCAAAGCTGCTTGCAACAATGGCTCACAGCTTCCGAAACAAGATCATGTGAACTTTGTAAATTTAATTTTATAATGCACACTAAAATCAAACCTTTTAATGAGGTAAGTTAAACTCTGTGTGTATATATATAATACTTGTTTGATCAGTCCACAATACTTATTTCAGAAACTTCTAACTGTTAAGTATTTTTTCTGTGTTGTAGCTAATAGGCTTCAAACGTGGTCAAAGAAATGATGAGACCATACATATCACATAAAATTGATAGCTAATATGGGATAATTTTAAGATTATATGTTAGACGACAAATAATATTCAAAAGAAATGTACTGTTATGCATTCTTGTGGTTTTGGATATATTTCCTTACTTCCTATTAAATGAGTTCTATTTTTAGCATCTTATTTACTCACGGACATATTCCTGAAGAGGAAAACTTACAATAATTCAGCTCACTGTTATGTCAATAGTGTCGCATAAATTTAAATCTTAATTAATCACAACAACATAAACATCTGCAATTTTTTTCTTAACTGTCAAAATGTCAATTTAGTTTATATAAAAACAAATAACAATTAATTAGCATAAACAATTTCATTAATTTGCCAGTGGTTTAAATTGTAATTATATTATTTATTCTAAGAAAAAAATTCAAGACAATGCTTGTATCAACTGGCTATATTGATATGGGAACTGAAGAAAACCTACATATATATTTTTTGTTAATTTGACATGGCAGATTATGTTAGCATCATGAAAAAGCTCAAGTTATGCCCCTTTGGTTAACCAACCATGTAATTATAATTCTGAAGGCATATTACTCATATATCTACTTCTAATATAGTCAAACATACAATATTTTCTCCTTCTGTTATCTCACTATCTAGTCTTTTTTTTTTCATTATTATTTTATTTTACTCTCAATTTGCGACTATTATTATACTTAAATTTAACTGACCGCCTCTGTAGCCAAATGGTTAAACGCATTGCCTACCATTGCGTTAATCGCGAGAGGTCCTGGGTTCGAAACAAAAAATTGTTTTCCTGGGATTCCAACCCAGGACCTGTCTGAAAGTCTGATCAACTACTTGCCTGTAAATAAAACCGATCAATGAAACGGACACAGAAATGTGTTCGCCCTATGCCCCACGAGGCGAAACGGGATTTCACACAAGACGATGTATTTCTTGTCGGTCAACCAGAGTCCAATGACTGTAACACGCATTGCCATAGTTGACCAGTGAAGTGTAATTTTAGTGGCGACTCCTGGAGATGTCTGGCGTGGAGCGACGGCGTCTCTGCTGTGCGGTGCTTTTTCACTGCGTGGCCGCCCTTTGCGTAATGTGGTCACTATTTGTACTTATTGAACGAGCTGTGGAGGAGGTCAACAAGGGACAGATTGGTAATTCATACTATATATGGAAAATAACGCCACGCATGTTATATAATATTTTATTATAATGATACACGTATGCCTTATTAGCTACAATTATTTTTCACATGTAAATTATTCTTATTTAAATGTGAAAAATAATTATAACATGACAATTTTATAATTAATTACTTGGTTTAGTTGTAAATACGTCGTTATGCTTTGCTGTAACAACAATTCTGGGTTGAACCCCAGGGTAATATGAAGAGTTGTCTTAGTGTAAAGACTAACTGTCTTCAAAGACTCTAGTCTTTGTCACCCAAGACTCACTTCAGAAGACCCTCGTTTAAAAGATTTTATACTTCCCTTTTCCTTAATGTATCGAGTAGCGAATTTGTCACTTATAAATTACCTGGAATGATACATGTCTTCTTTTCTTTACCGGAAATTCTAAAACACTACTTAATGGTGAAAAGGTGTTTTTTTTCATCTAATTTACAAATGACATACATGAGTGATCATTTATATTGGTAATGTAATTTTACAGCTTGGCCTTTTTGGACAAAGCTGGTGGTGGTAGCTGTGGGGTTCACAGGAGGTGCTGTTTTTATGTACATACAATGTCGACAGTATTTACACCTTTGCAACCGTTGGCGGGCTCATAATAGGTGAGTCTCATAATATGTGCCTTAATTAAATCCTAAGTACAATAACTAATTCTTTACTAAAAATTATATATTTATTGTGGGAGAAAAAGTTACAAAAAATCGTTCATTCTTAGTAACTATCAAAAAGACAATAAAGGATTTTTTCTAACGCACATATTCCATTGATAATTTATAAGCACTAGTTCTCCCATGCAAATTATTCAATGCCTAGCATTGAGTTAAACGCTATAAATCCTAGGTTTGAATCCCGGGGCAATAATATATTATTTCGGGGCAGGGAACAGAATAGAAGTTTGATCAACTGCTTGCTTGTAAGTAAAACGGAATCGGTTTGCCCCACGACTTACGGGAACACACGCTTTTTTTTATTCGGATTGCAACTTTTTTTTTAGAAAGAAAGAAAGAAAAATTTATTTACTTTAAAGGTACACAAAAGCACATGTTACACTTATTACTAAAACATAAAAAAAAAAAAAACAATTTTATCTTAACAGTATAACTTAATATAACAAGATAGGATAATGTTGTGTGCTGCTAGTAGAATAGGATCTTACTCAGTTTATATCAGGCCCTTTATTGACCTGAAACTGATTTTCAGTAAGTCCTTAGAGCGTGGACAGCGGTGCCACACTCAAGTTACAGTAAACAAAAAAGAAAGTTGCTGTTGTACAAATAAATAAATAAAATTTTAAAGATAAACACTCGTGTTAATATTTAAAAAAAACACACAACTCGCAGTTTTTATTGTTATATGTAAAAACATGCTTACAACTTGATAATAACGTGTACTTTTTCTTATTACATACTTTACAAGTTTCGATTAACGATGACTATATTTTTATAAACATTTAAAGTAACTCGTTATTGAACATTATGCACGCAATAATAAAACGTGTCGTTTTCTAGAAAAAGCGAATTCAAATAATGGAGCCTGAGGTCATTTAATACATTATGCTTGAGTTTTGTAAGATCAAGGTCCTGACGTACATTATTTCTTATAGCGCGTTACGTGTACGAAATGTTTGTCAGAATTGCAACAGGTGTTCAGCATCCATATATTTGGTGACCATCACCTCCTCAAGGCTTACCGTGATACCGAAATACTTCTAAAAATAATTCTACTGTAAAATATTATTAGCCGCTTCGTCCAATGCGAAACTTCACCTCGCAATATTTGCGTGGGCTTTTTGTCTGTTTTTGCGTCTATGAAGTTTACGCGAGCTACTGAATTGAAAGTGTTTAATTATATAAATAATTATAACGTAAGATTAAAAAAGATGTTATCATTTCCTTTATGGTCTGTAACGATTCTGTTATATAAATATAATTAGTAATTTGATGTTTGTTTTTGCGTCCATTTAAATTAAAACCGTTTTGCGTGTATTTTACTTTTGTATCTTGTTATTTGTTGTTTTTTTTTTATGATGAATGTAATAATTGATCTTATCTGTAAAATAATTGATCATATACACATACTTGATTTTGCACGGGTCTCCAGTTTACACTGGTAGACAAATAAAACACGTTTAACGGTTGAAAACTAACAGGACTACTGCTGCTGCAAAAAAACGAAAATAATAGGTTGTAGTTAAAAATAAGTTAAGTAATATGTTTTGCGTTTTAAACCGTTAAACAAATGTATAATATTCCGTGAAATATTTTGTTTGTTTACCAATTCCAGACGATGTTTACGAACCGACCAATTGGGACGATCCCAACGGATATGTTTACGTCAATCGGTAGCTATGAGCATTGTTATATGTACATTTTTGAATAATATCCAAGCGTAATTTTGATAATCTTGTGATGTATAAGATAATAAGAGCAATCTTAGTCGATAGGTAATATTATATTTACTGTCTGTTGAAATGCGAGATGAAACTTGATCAAATTTACCCCAGATACTGTTTCGCAATATCTCTTATCTGCCCGGGAAATTTCAATGAAAAATTAATGTATCATCTTGTATTTCTACTAGCTGTGGCCGTGACTTCGTCCGCGTAGAATAGGTATCTTTGGCATCAGAATTTGTTTTTGCAAACCTCCACTTCATCTTTATAAATTTCTTACCCGCGACGTCGTCTGCGGACTGCCCCCCTTAGTTCTTGCAACGGAATCGTAAAAGATAGATCAGTTCCTAAGATTAGCCCGTTCAAACAAACAAATAAACTCTTCAGCTTTATACATATATTAGTAAAGATCAATATGGCATGAAGAAATTTGCGTATGTAATCTCTTAAAAGTATCGTCTATAGATAGTATTCAAGTCGGCGAGTGTATTAATTAAAACATTTAACGGTTTAAATTTCGAAATATTTAACATTTTTTTTGTGACCAGCTGACCTAAATATTTTCGCCAAAGAGTAATATATTTTGCGTTATGAACCGTTAACGTATAAAATTGGTACTCGTGTACTTGTTTATTTGTCCCAGGATATGTAATAAAATAATACTGTACTTTTTCTTATAGCTCAAGGTACTTTTTACTTGTTTATCAGTGAGTCACGTTACACTCTGGTTGACGATGTATGCATGCATATGTACGTGATCAAAAGTGTTTTTTGCGCAGAAAAAAGTCTGCCATTTAATTCAATAACAACTTTTTAAATACGTGATAAACATATATAATTTTTAATGCGGTATTTAAAAATTATTAATAGAGTGTCAAGTATATGAGGCCGCTAGAGCCGAGTAGTCTAACTGCAATTTTATGACATGACTTATTTATATATTTTTTAAGTCTATGAATGTTAATCTACAAGAGCGCAGTGACCTAAAATTGTTAATATAATTCTTACATAAATAATAGTTCACATTCATTTTGGCTAAAGTTAGTTCCCCTTTTTTATTTTCCCCCTTATTGAAGGTTTTTTTTTTGTTATGAGGCCACTCTGGCTCTATGAGTCTTATATGTTACTTCTAGACTAATTCTTCGGGAAATGAATTCACTATAGTTCAGTTTAGTCTATATATGTAATCTACAATCCAACATTTGCAGGATACTACTCATACAGAATGCGCCAGAGAAGATACCCATTACCGCATCCCCGCCACTGCGCAGCAAGAGACGCGAGAGAAGTGCGCGTGGGCAGGTTGTGGCTAACATAGAGCCGTTGCCCCCCCCAGCTGCCTACCACGAGGAGGATGAAAGCGGTGGCTTCGAAACGTACAGAGGGAATCCGCATCGACGTCTCTCCGCCCTGAACGAGAATAGGCTAAGAGTGGAACCCCATGAAGACACTAGGCGATACTCCGACACGAGATTGGTGCAACCAGTGAACGTGGCTGTGGAAGATGTGGTTCAACCCGGCGCTGAGGTATGTACGTATTATAGTGCGAACATCATCGTTATCAGAATACTGCTGTCCACGGCTGGGGCCAGACAAATGTTGGTTAACAGACTTATTTTGACAGAAGAAGAACCTATGTGAAAATAAAACACTTTAACGGTTTAAATCTCGATATATATTAGTTAAACTTGTGTAATAATTATTTTAACTACGGCCCAATGTTTCGTATGCTGTCACGGGCAGACTAAAGATGGTGGGTGTCTTTGACATCAAAGTAAGCAACTGCTATGGTAACGCCATCTGTGCCGTCGAAGTTGGTATTTGGCGAAACGTTGGGCCGTAGTTAAAATAATTAGTAAAAATAAAACGTAGTAAATATAAAACAAGTTTAACTAACATATATCGAGTTTTAAACCGTTACAGTGTTTTATTTAAATGTGTACAACTCGCGTAAACTACAGACAGTATTTAAGAGCACATGTTACTTGATCATAGGTGACGTACCTCAGCCGAAGGCATGTAAGCTTAGTATGAACGTTTCAATTTATTTTGGCTCTGTATATTTAGAAGTCCACGGACTGAAATCGAAACGTGATTAAACTTTATAGTTTTACCACCTGTGGACTGTGGTTGGAGACCTTTAAAAAAAATATCTAGTTTTTCTGTTTGTCTAATTATAAAATAATAATAACAAAAATACTAAATGCAAGAATAATTCCATGGCATATAACATATGTATTTCACCTATATGTTATATGTCAATTTGACACGCCCCCATCTTCATTGTTTATTGGGTGTGACGCAAAAAAATCGGGTTCTGACTAATTTATTGTGAAATTTATATGCAAAGCTTGAAATGCGATAATTTGTTTAAGACAAAACGGCTTAAGAACTAGTAAGCAATTCTATATACTTTTGGGTTAGTTTCAAACCAAGTTAAGTATTAAATAGTTTTTTTTGCGATAAGTCCGTCCTGCATGTTCTAAATTAGTTATCACATTATTTAATAATATCGTTATATTAACTAGACGGGCGTATACCACATTGCTGTGGACCCCCTGGAAGCGGACATTCGGTCCCTGTTGGCGTTGGAAGCGAGGCGGGAGGCTCGTGCAGCTCGCTCGCTGCCGAACCTGCGCGCGAGTCGCGAGTCCCTACTCCCCGCACCTGTACCGCCTCACCCGCCCTCCTGAGGGACAACCCTAACCCTCTACCTGGACGATAACATCTACTAGTGTGATCTACGCACTCCCCCCAAGATCAGTGTCGCGTTACCTAGTCGTTTAGTCAAAATTTGCGTCCCAAGATTGTGTCCGATAAGTGAACTCTTGGGGTAGCCTCAATGTTGGAAGTGGACAAGTGATATGTGCAACTGGTAAAGTGATGAATCTGTGTCAATCCTCGATATATAGTGTTTAGATATATCGCTCGGTATGATCTGTTCTAGATAATTGTCGCTGTAGGGTTAAACAATCGATTCATTTAAATAAAATTTAGTTTAAAACGCAAAATTTATAGAGAAACTTATTTCCACTACGGTCCATGTTTCGGATACTTTGCAGCGTGGTCGGGAGACTCAACTTGACTACATTTCGCGTTTTAAACCGTTAAAGTGTTTAATTTATAACAATAGTTAGGTTAATCACGTGACCTAGGTCCCAAGTCTGCTAATTCCCGGACCATTGGCATGCCACTCACGTTAAGGTTCTATTGCAATAACGGTATTATAGAGAAAACTAAATCATCTAAAGTCACAATAATTAGTATGTACTAATAGAATAGTAAATGGTATAAGCTACGACACATCGGCGGCATGCAGATATTGTAGATAACAGGACTTGGGGCTTTGTCTGTCTTCATATTGTCCCTCAGCGACACTATATAACCAAATAGCACATTTGTTTTCCAACCTGAAGCATCAACAATCGCTATGTCTCTAGGTTATATCATTATTCTATAAAATTTAATTTAATGCTTAAAATTTTAAATTAAAATGTTTTTAGTTCTTTAATTGAAGTTTCATCGTCAAAATTAATTATATACCGATAAGATCGCTATGGCAAGAACAATGTGCTATTGGTAATTAAATTTATTACGCTTTGTTTCGTTGTGTGGCTAGTGTTGGGTAGGGTTTTAGCCACTGTGGTTCCGTATAAGGTGCTAATATGTAAGGCAGCTCAAAGTTTGGTCCTTATCTTTTACAGTGACAATTTAAGTTTAAAAGCCATTTTATAAGAAATAGAATGATAATCTCTGTGATTCTTTGGTAAGATACGTTTGCCTAACAAGAGGTCGTCGGTTCGAATCTCAGGGAATCGATAAATTGTATGGTTTAAGTAGGACACTGAACTGATCTACTACAAAAATCAAATCAGTGGATGTGGAGGAAAATGGGATTATAGTTTAATTGGGATAGTCGAGGCACCATACAAATTTTTTTGAATAAATTCCCTTTTTCTCTAAACATATATTTGTATTAGTAAATCGGTGCCTACCCAACCCTACGTCACTGTTGATGAAACATAAATATATAATACTTGAATAGACTCTTGGAAATTCTGATGTGAAAAGTTTTTGCTCTCGCGTCTGAATTATGGCGAATCACAAAAAACATCACATCCTCCCGCGTTTTATTGACGTCATTCTTGTGTTTGCTGTTTTAATTGTTAGGGTGTTGCCACATTAATCGACGAATTATGAAATAAAATAGACTTTCACGATTTTGCAAAGTTGGGTTTTAATAAAATGAAGTTTGCAAAAGTTAGAATGTCCAATATGTCAAATGTTTTAGAATATAGGACTCGGCTTATGAATCCACATATTGTTTCTGTTTATTCGTGTTGTATTGGTTGATAAGGGTCACGTCATTAGTAAACATCACTAATTGTGCCATTTTTTTGAAATTACGCGAGCGACGCTTGAAGATACCACCACGGACTAACGTTAGTCATGCATGCTTAGTGTGTAAATATTGTTCATATTTATATATAATTAAGGTTATGTTTTCGTCAATCGTACGATGAGCGGATACACTAAAAATCAATTGATTGTCTTTAGGAAAATTTGTATTTCGGCTTACAACTTAATCAACAACTGTTTCCGTTTATAGGTACTCTTATGTAATGTTCCTGCTGCAGGTAGTCCGTCCTTATCGAATGCGATTATTTTCTTAAAACCGTAGACGCTCGTCAGATGTCTCGCTTTGATTGCGCGTTTGATTTCACAGAATTATTCTCGATTACGGTACAAACTAGATAAGTCGATACACGCTTCCTTTATTTTCTGATCTTCTCTACAAGTTAATCTATAGTTTAATACTTGAACGGATTGAAACGCGACGTGTTTAACGGCCACTAACGAAAAATATATCGCGTTCAAGTCGTTTCGTTAATATCTTCTCTACGTATAATTGATATTTAATACTATTAAACTCTTCCTGATATAGAATCTCATATCTTCGATTCGCTCTCTCGAAAAAGCGTCTTTTTGCCACTAAAAACGTTATGCATTTATAATTGCTTCGTTTTATATAATGATTGTGATTTATTCAGTTTTTTTAAATTAACGGATTTGTTTTCGCATCACACTTTTGAATTTTTATTCTTTAAATAAAACATGTAATATAGTTGTATATATAATTCTCTCGTTGACAGTTATTGCTGTGTGTGTATAGTAGGTGTATTCATGGACAAACAATAGAATCGTATTAATCTATTGTCTGTAAGTCGTTAAGTACCCCTCGAAGGATCACATTTAACATATTTGTTTTGTATAGTTCTCATTTAGTCTTCGATAAACAATACAACTAGATATTTTCACAAACTTAGATTTTAAACGTTCCTTAATATGACGATAACTTTAATATTTTTCACATGTTATTGCACATGATGGCACTATACGGATTAAAAAATTATTATACAATGAAAAACAGCTCGGAAAGCTGTAGATGCCGGTTCACGACCTGCCCGAGTCGTAAACTTTTTTCAATTCATAATCGATTTTTATAATAGTGCTTAAAATTAACATTTATAAAATTAAAAAAAAACTTTGCAGAACACTTCTAACGTACGACCAGTGTATCGCATGTTGTTAGTTCGAGTCCCGTTTGTGTCATTTTACATGAATATTAGTTAGGTTCAGAATCTAAGAAGTGTTGTGTTGCCGTTATGTTATAGGAGTCTAGTTGCATTGTTTATCAAAGCTATGAATGTAATTTTCAGTAGCATGCATTTAAATTGAATGTTAATGATATAAGGAACGAAACACCATTAATGTTACATAGATAGGTATAACAAAATAGTTTTGACATTCGGTGCTAAAATATCAAGGCTCTCGCGCCAGTGGACTATAAATTGAAAATTTCCTTCATGTCGAATTTTACATATGTTCGTTTTGCCATGTAACGGTATTATTACTATAGAAATACGAAACTACTTAAAAATATAATTTTATTTATCTGGAGGCTAATTTCAATATAAAAGTCCTGTAAATAAGGCTGATTATCAAATTAAATTCTAAATTCTTATAGATGACATAAACGTTGTCATTCGATTCGGTCCGGTCTTTGAAAATACTTTGAAATGTGAGTTATAATATTGCATATCAAGTATTAGTACAGCAGTCGTCTGATGTAGTGTAAATTGTAAATAACCGCTTACCGAATGTAGAAATATTCTCCCCTATTCGTTTTTTAACTCTTGTTGCTTTCTTCACTTCAAATAGCTATGAATTTAATTTTTTTTTCTAGCAACCGTTCTTTGTGATAGTTTTAAATCGTAAGCGATTTCTGTTTGCTCAAAATTTGATTTTCCTTACGATCTTTGTACTTATAGTTCATGAAATTTGTAAGACTGTATTTTTATTTTATGTAAAAATTGTTAACTCCAGATTATAAATAAATAAGTTATTTTGAGATTTTTCGATAGTTTTATTAGCCCATCAGGGACTGTACAACCATTGATGATGAGTCTAGACTAGTCTAGAGTAGGTGGTTAAGATCGCCTAGTTCAAGCACTAAAGGACATCGGGAAGCAATAGTTTCGGACAAGATACAAAGTCTAACTTACTTTCCTTACTGCAAATTAAATGAATTAGTAAGCCAGCTATCAACCAACCCCCCGCCCCCCTCCTCTAGATTACTTCTATAATATGGTGATTGGCGATGAAAGAAACAAATAATTAAGTAAAAATAAATAGTTTATTAAAATATTTCGTATCTCATTCTCGTGTTTCGACCAGAGCTCCGGTCAACTGACTAGATAGTACACTCAACATTTCATATTATCATTACATAAACATTTCTGTACAAACGGATAACTCTTAGTTCTACTTAACAAAATAAAGTGCCTAATACTCGAGTATTAGAATAATTAATTCACAAAAATAACATTGCACACTGTCGGGGCATTAAATATTCCTCATACATTAATTTGTTAGTCTTATTTTAGTTCCTACTAATATGGCGCCACTAGTCTCGTAAATTTACGACGATTTTTCTGTGACCGACTAAACTCGAAAACGGTGTAATAACAAAAATCACAATTGGAGGAAACTTTTGAAATGTAAAGATGGCGACCGTATCGCTTAAACATGTAATTTGCATAATTAAAATTCAGTTTCGCCAAGTACGTTATACATAAGTCGTTTGAAAGAATTCGATTGTTGGATGTGCTCTTCGTGTAGGGAATTTACCTGGAAATTTTAACACGAACTTTAGTATTGTACACATAAAGTTTACAAGATTAGTAGATTTAAAATTTAGGGGCTTAAAAATCTATATATATTGAACAACCCTACCGTCTTGAACGGCCAAGTACCAAGCTTAATATAATAATATATTACGCGTTTTAATCTGACATGAGAGTTTTATTTAAAAATATAATATACTTATTGAATGCCTAATGCTAGGCCTAGGTTTGCGCCCAATTTTTGTTTGAAGCCATTAGGAATTAAATTTTGGACCAAAAACTAGCCTATATCATATACCTCCGAAGTCATTAAGAATATTATTGTGAACTGCACTATAAAATACTTACGAAGGTCGTTTGTTTCCCTTTAGTTTCCTCGGAAGGTTGTGGAGGTACTGGTTTCTACATAAGAAAAATTTACATTACTTTTAGCTTGAAATATGGGTAATAAGTGGAAGATTAATTTTTCTTTGAGACTCCTTATTAATATTCAAGAATCCATCAGC